GCCGCTGCCCCTGCTGGACCCCAGAGAATGTTAAAGCCCCCCCCCACCCCTCCTCAAACACACACACACACACACACAGGGAGGCAGGCAGACAGGACCACTGAAGCACAAGCCGGGCCGTCACAGCGGGAAAATGAACATTTATGTTTCGCACTCTTTCTTTTGTTCCCCCTCGTGAATATACACTCGCACAGACACCCGCCGGCTCGTCAGACGCTCGCAGACACATTGTTAGGTGTGCAACACTTTGCCCTGCACCTAAACACGGTAATTGCCAACTCAACCGTGTTCAAATGGAGCAATTACGTGTTCGAGCATGGAGAATGCCGGGCGCTAATCGATAGCAGGGATTCAGCAGGTGCGTACGGTGGCCTTCGGTCCTGTTGCCGGCCGCACACCTGAATAAACAACGCCACGCACAAACGTACGCTGTTGGAAATCTGATTTGACATGTCATCATGCGACCCCCCCCACCCGTGCCCCCGCCCCGAACGACAGAGGTCTAGTCCAGAATGTGGGGCGAACGCCGTCTTCTCCTTAATAAAGGATTGATTTGCCATATTGATCGTACATGACAAGGCTGTAGCCAGGAATTTGGCCCCTTTCTTTTGTTATTTCCACCTCCTTTCTTATGCACATTCGAGTCTCATACATGTGCACACACACAAGAGCACGCATATATATATGTGTGTGTGTGTGTGTGTCAGCCCTGCCAGACCCCGCTGCTCAGTGTGATGTAAATTGTGTATGTGTAAAAAGCACTCCATAATCAGGCCATCCATCATCAGAGGCTGTCAGTGGGCTCTCGTAGAGTGATACATCACGCTCTCCTGTCCTCTGCCTCAGCTGGGGCCTACACTACCCGCCAGGCATGCTGGGAACGCAGCCTGAAAGACGCACAGTTCAGGACAACGCCAGGGTTGGGAGAGGGTCTCTGCCTAATGACAGTAACGCCTGCTGCTAACTGTAGCATCAGGAAATCTGGACAGTACCGCGTCCAGTTATTGACCAAGTTCAACCAAAACTTTGAAGTCCGTTTCATTTCCCCAGGTACTGTTGTTTACAATTCTCCAAAAATGCGGGGGCGTAAAGTCTGGGCTTGTCCAATCACGGTCCAGCACTGGGCTCCACGTGTGGACATGTCGCCGTCCCCATCTATCATGGAGATGATCTTTGTAACAACCCCGGTGTAATGAAATTGGTGACACAGAGCGCCATCTGCTATTGATTTCATGCAAATGCTTTTGACAGCTGATGGAGACTTGCATTAGCGCTAAACGGCGCTGTCAGTTGATGAGTTGACACTTTTGTAGTCGTAGCATGTACGCCGGCGCAAACCGACACAGACAGTGTCAATAATCCTGTAAAAGCCGCTGATGATATATACTCAGCACAATCTGGACAATAAACGTGTTCCGTATGCGTTCATCGCGCGGCGCTGCACTTGCTGTTTTGTTTTTTTTCTTTCCGTGCAAAGATTTCCTTTCAGCCGCTGAGCTTTTACAAGAATCATTGGGTCTGCTCCTCTTTCTTACACCACACACATCGACAACAGCATCGCCTTCACTGCCCCCCACCCTACCCTCCCTCCTCACCCCATGTCTTCTTTAATCCTCGACACGTCATTATGTTCCCTCTTCACACTCTGTCGTAAACTTTACTTTCTTGCGAGGATATAAGCGGCCAGTCTAACCCCACGGTGCACTTGCACGACTCCTTGTCTGCCAAAAAATTAGTTCGGCCCTCCTTGTCCTTTTCAGCATAACACGTCGAAGGAGCAAGGGATGGCTGGGTGTGGAAGGAGAATACCAACCCACCCAGCCATCCCCATCACCCCTCCCGCCTGCGAGGCTCCTCAGACGCTGCATGGAAACATGAAACCCTCCACACACATCCCATAAATCCTCTGCTGGGTGGGGAGTCTAGCCGTGGGGAGGAGGGACAGAGGAAGGTGGTGGTGCTCTACGATGGGGGTGGTCCCTGTGCATGTGTGTGTGTGTGTGTGTGTGTGGAGGCTGGGGGTGGGTGGTGGTGGAGGGGTCGCTGGCACGTTCCAGTCACGCCCGCTTCCCGGCCCGCGGCCAATCAATACCACTTTCCTGTTTTAGAGGCGGGTAATTATGAGGTGGAGAGATTGTGTGACCTCTCACCCCTGCTGCATTACTTGCCTGATATTAAGATAAATTGCCTGATTTTGGGTAAACATATGCTGCAATTCAAACTGTCAGCACTGGTTTGCTCAGGGATAATTTGTATTGATCTCCTGGCTTCTTCCCCATTTTGCTTACTGACCTCATGGATAATTAGAGAAAAAGAGACACAGGGAGGTATAAGGCAGGGTTTGCATTTAATACTTTGCAGAGATGAAGAGCACGCGGGGTGGGGGGGCCGGGGGGTGTAAACATTATGGACTAATAGAATTTTCATTTTCTCTTCATATCTGGGCAGGTTACACGGGTTTTGTTCAATTACACTGCCAACATCCTGTGTATTACCAGTACACGCGCACAAATTAGTTTTTATCGTGTTTTTCAAAAAAAAAAATGTTGTTAAACAACCAGTATTAAATTAAAAGCCCTTATGTCTCTGATTTGAGAGCGAAAAATAATTGTTTCCCTACGTATGATTGGCATAACTATGCTAAGTGGCTAACGGACAGAGCTGCTAGGGAGAATGCTTTTCTTTCGATAGAAGATTTCGTGAATTTCTTCAGACGTTTTTTTTTTTTTTTTTTTTCCATGTTTTCGAGTGTAAATAAATGGGACGCTTGACTCGATGTGCAGCTGTGACCATATCACTTCCCATTGTGATTATAATGCAAGCACACCAGCCTCTTGTGGCAGGACTTCAGTGAAATTCCTGGGCCTGGAATGTGCACTTCCCAGTCTCATTTTGATCTGATGCCTCAATCTGCTCCTCCTTTCATGCCACTCGCACGTTTTCTCCGCTGCGGCCTCTCGCCACTTGACTTAACATGTAGAGTGGATGGTGAGGA